GACTGGGTAAACCTTACCAGGTGTACAACATTGAAGTTCAATTATCTTTCAAACTTCAGACACCTGTCTTGCTGAAGCTGTAAACCAGATGCTCATTCCTGTAATGTTATCAGCAATGACTTCAGGCTGCAAGACTCTTGCTTTAGAAAAGGAAATGGTGGGGATAGGGAAGGAGATTTACAGAGACTGGGTGTGTCTCAACAAGTGGTATTTTAACAATGCTTCTCATCAGGCAACTCAAACATTTTACAATACACTTTCCCTTTAGGTGCCCTAGTCTTCTGTTACTAGATGGAAACAATTTAGCAACAAGTTCATTAACTGAGGATCAGGTTCCCCTGTGCTTCCTTCCTGCTCATTCCTTTTCCCCTCACACTTATAAACGCAACATGCAGCTGTGGTGCACAGGGCTTTAAAACATAAGTGTTAGGAATAGGAGTTCCACTCTGAATCATTTCCAGCCCTAACACTTCTAACTCTACATACAATAACTTAGTTAGACCTGTAGGAGTATTAATCATGATGAATTTATGTGATCTTCTTTATGTGAGCTGCTTCACTTTAAAGGCTGAGGGTACGTCTGATATTTCCCTTCCCCCTGCACTCACACAACCTCACACATTCTGTTCCATTTACAGGTTAATTTCCCAAAGTACTTTGGAGCACACATTTAGCTGCCCTGCTTAAAACGTGTCTACATTACTGCAGTGCAGGGTAGGATTAATGTCCAAATTCTAGAGTAATTTGAAGAACAAAGTCAAGAGATTAAGCACCCTTTCTCAAAGCAGCTACTCTTAAAACTGGCATTATACCAGCTTTTGCACAGATGCATCTCAACTTTCATGTGCACACTATACATACGTATGTCTTGACATAAGGATGCATATATACACATATATATGCCTATATACACACATACAAAATAATCCACATTGTGCCTGGTACTATTCTGTTCTAGTGGAAGCAAAGGTACAAGTGGAAAGGAGGTGGAGAGGGAATGAAGCAACAATTAAAACTTGGTTCTCTTGGATAGATCTAACTCACGAACCAGAAGTTTCCACTGGAAATATAAAAAAGAGAGTGCTCTGTAGTCTGTCAGCTCTCACATGAGATGTGAATCTCAGGGGCCCCTATGGTAGCCATTGAACCTGACCTCCACCCAGGCAGGGTCATTTTAAATTTGACTCTTGCTAAACACACAAGAAAGGATGGTAGAAGTTTTGTCAGAGTTCTGCTTTGTTGTCATTTGGGGAAAACGTAACCTAAATAAAGAGAAAGATAGAGACGGCACCAAAACTTCCTTTTTTTTTTCTTTTTTGTAAAGCAAACAGTAGATGTGCAAATGTCAGCAGTGGGAGGAGAAAGAGGAAATAAGATATTGTGGAGTGAAGGGAGCTGTAGGAAGTGGAGGAAAATGATGGGGACAGGAAAAAAATCAGCATAGCAAGATGAGGACCAGAAATGGTGAAGGGACAACACCATCAGTAGCAAAGAAAGTACAAAATACCCCATAGGCCTATGCTCTTCTTCCCTGTGAATATCCTATGACCCAGTGGTCCTTGCAGCATTTTATTCATTTCCCCATAGAATATGGAACTGAAAAACACTCCACCTCTCAAGATGTCTGGGACTGGTTTACCTGCCGTCCTCCTCTCTCTTTCATGTGTACCCTACAGAGGGAATTGAGATGTACACAGAGAGCAAGCTGGATTGAAGTGGTAAGGACAGATATGCTTCACTCTTCACTTCTGTCAGAGAAAGGGTGAGAAAATTCATCATGAAATAAACAGAGCAATTCACACCTCTCAGAGCTGCTGTTTCAAGCTACATATGTCTCAAGCCATATTCATCTCCATCTTGTATTCTCACGCAATTGAAGACATCTGACTACTGAATAGGTCACTTCACACCTGTCTGAAAAGTCTTCTGTTTAAAGGTCAATTTATTCTAAGTGCTATATAATCCCCACTCATATCTAACTACCTTGAAATCTGACACAGTTACCACAGGAGGTGAGTAGAATTATTGATCTAAATAAGAGGTCACTTGAGGCCAGAATTCCCAAAATACAGCCTTTTTCAGCATTCCTTAACACTGACCGGTTATACCAATGTTTCCTTTGTGCACACATCTAGAATAAAACTGTGACCAAAGAATCTCAATTGCTCAATATTTACCCTAGCAAATGAAAGCCACCAACTGTCTCCCTGGTATTCAGAATTCAGATGCTTTCAAAAATTTCAGCTCCACACATGCAGTGAATTAAATGCTCAAGAATTCAGGGAGTTACTGACCCTTTGAGTACATTGGAACATCTCTTTCTATTCCCACATAAAGCCTGGGAAATCCTTTTCCTTAAGAGGAGGAGGATAAGAATCCTTCTTGAACTTACCAAGTGCTCAGAAGTTAGACATTACACTAGTCCATTTTGAAAATTAAGAAAAATGGGAAAAGACAAGGTAAGTCATACCTCTGGAAACAGTTCAAAAGGGGTAGGAAGAAGAGGACAGGTTAGAGAAGTCAATGGAAGCCTCTAGGCTCTGGGAGCACCTCAGATTAATAAGATTATAACAGCATCAATGGCTTGGAAAAAAAGAGTATGCATACATATACTCTGCAACAGCAGTGCTATATGTAAGCAACTACAGAGTACTGCATATCTGCCATACAAATGGTGCTTAAAATACCAATGACTTAGTGGGACAGGATGTATAAACTGAAAATGGCAGCACAAGAGTTTGAGGACTCATCTCAACAAAAATGACTGCAGTAGAAGTCACGTCACTAAACTCACAACTGTACTTCACATGCTCGACTGAGAAAAGCTAGGTCTAATGTTTCTTCTAAGCTGCTCCAGCTCATGTGTCCACAAATTCATTTTGAGGTGGATAGCAGTGTACATATAGTGAGTGAATGTGAGGGTCTGCAGGCATTTCTTTCCAAGTAATGCTCCTTAGGTTTATATTTTCCATGTGCTGGAAGCTGCAGTACTATCAAGCAATCAGTGATTTAATTAAGGTCGCTTTTAGTGAAATTCTGTCATTACTATTTTGTCATTTCCTTTCATTTCTCAAGGACTGACATTTTTCAGTGCTGAGAAACTACTCATTAATTCTCTAAGTAACTTCAAAAATAAACCACATATATTTTACCAAAAAAACCCGTGTATTAGTGAATAAAAGCAAAGTTACCATGGAATGTGTATGGAAATATATTCAACTTCCATTAGAATATCAAAGGTGTTTGTTATACTCAGTGTCAATAATATGACATAACAGAATACTTTGGAAATGTCTACTCCAAAAGTGTGTACACATTCACATACTTGCATATAATAAGCAGATATTTAGCCTAAATGATGCTAATAGAACATAAACTCTGACCATAAAAAAAAAAAAAAAGAAGAAAGAAAACAGTAATTCAAAGAGCCATAAGGTAGTCTGATTAACTAATAGCTACAGATATAAAAACAAATTGGAATTCTGGCAATTCATTCAAAGAACAGCTGTTCCTTGAACTTTTTCTTCTTATTCAGATATTGTCCATTGGAAAAAAAAAACCCTTACATTCAAAATTATCCAAAAGTAACAGATCTATGGATGACAAAATAGCACTCTCTCAAGATACCAGTGTTCATCAAATAAATGCCATACTAAATGAACTCCGAGTAATAAGTCAACATGAACCAACTTTGAAACTAAGATTATGCATCAGGAAGGCAAGAACTCAAGAGCAAGTCAAAAGATAAACTATGGCTTTTCAGGAGCTTAAAACTTCTAGGAAGAGTGGATTTGTCTGTGCTATCACAATCCAGTTGTTACAGGAAGGCAAGTAAAAGAAGAGTTCCAAAAGTTAATCAAGTTATAATTATTTGAAAATGCAAAGTCACCTGGTATTTCAGTTTTTCATCAGCAACAGGACACCTGAAAATGGGCAGGTAAGACAGAGGCAAAAGTACAAGTGCAGCAGGAAATGGCAAAATCACTCTACAGACTTTAATGGCACATGATTCTGGTTCTCAGTATCTGAAAAATGCATGGAGTTGAGAGTTGGGTGGGTGGGTGTGGTGTTCAACTGAAACTCTTTTTCTTGGAGAGAATGAAAAGGAGACATACCTGACTTAATGCTCCTAAACCAACCCTCCCCCCACCTCAAAAATTGCCTGAATGATAACTGTTATGCATTTGTAGACAAGGATTCACACAGACCAAGTCTCAAAATGATAATGTGGCTTTTCTTAAATACTGACAAGAATAGATATACTCCCTCTTCTGCTCACCCCCTGAAGTACAAAGTGCTGCTGAAGTCACCATTGGGCAGCTTCCATTACATAAATTTACAATCCTCTCCATTAAACAGAAGAGCACTCCACAGAAAATAAGGCCTTCACAAATAGTATAAGGAAGATAACTAAGCTATTTTAATCTCTCAAATACAGGGTTCCTGAGCTTCCTCTTAAATAACTTTCAATTAAAGTATTTAATAGGATAATTCCCAAGCAGAAAACTAAACATATATCCTTTTGATTACAAAAGGACTGACCCAGTGAGAATCTGGGGCACAGAGCACCACAATACAGAACCAGCAGTAAGGGAGTCACAGCAAGTAGAACTCCCTTGGATACAGAAACACTCAGTGAAAACTTTAAAATCCCAGTCACAGCAAAAGCAAATGGTGCTTCAAGCATTTTTCTTTTCAGGAGTTACATTCATCCAGCAAAGCAGAAAGCACTGGTTGTTTCACTAAAATTCAAGTTAATGTTAAGAAAAGTTAACATGATTTCTGAAAACTTAAATCTGTGGTCTGGCTTCTTGTTAGTCCATACTAAACTTTGTGTGCAAAAGGCAATATTTAAAATTGGTAAGCTGTTTCAATACTTATTTTAAAAACTACAGTACCTCAAAAGGGTAAAATCAAATTTTTACATGATGAAAGCTTCTTATACATGACTATTTGCATTAACAGATTAAACAAAATTTCTTCCCTTTTAATCAACTTACCGGCTTGAAAATATGTCAATAAGTTCTTTTCTGTTCTGGACTCTGAGTGTATTAGTTTTGTATCTGGAATCTTTGCTAACTTCAGGCAAATTCAGGATCTAAGTAAAAATAAAAAGTCAAAAATGTGCTTGGTAGGAGATGTTTATATAGCAACAAAATTAATTACTGATTAAAAAATCACTGATTTCCAATAATTACTACTTCTCATTAATCTTTTAATATAGATAAAGAAATTTTAAAATAATTATTTTTTAAAGAAAAAATGTATCCTGGTTAATGTTACACAAGTAAAGAAAAAGACAGAGTTTAAGATGAAGATAGAGATCTTAGTTGATAGCTTTCATCATTAACTAGGAGAAATTCTTATTGTAGAACAGTAAATTAATTATAAATTATTACCATGAGGCTGGAGAAATCTATGGGATTATCCTGCACTAAATTATATGTCACAGAATAAAAGTATTTCTGTATTTCATATGCTAGACTGAAACAAGCTATATCTAACAATATTTCTTTACAGTTCAGTAAAATGGGGTGGTTAAATTAATAAGGAAAAGTGGTGGTATAACCCCTAAGAAAGAAGAAATATATCTACTATATGTAACTCCCACCTGCCACAATATAAATTTAAACAGCATGCAAAGACAATGTGAATTATACTACAAAGGGAATTAAATATGTAGAATTAGTCTTGGAATTTTGTAGAGCCATTTGTTAGACACAGTATCAACGTGGAAAAATAATATTTATCCATTTATGCTACAATGTATTTCTATAGAACATAAATAAACATAATTAATTGTGTTTTCTAAATGTATTTAAAAAATACCCCAATAACATCAGCTACAAAGGAAGGTAGCATAGAATCTCATAGAGAAAGAGACTGTCACATATTCTTCATGTATTTTTACTAACAAACACAGACTCAAGATCAGTTTTTCTTATGGTGAACCTTATATTTATTCTAAACATGCTACATTTTTTTACAGAGCCATTTCTAAGACAGTTTACAAAAAATATATAGTGGCTCAAACCTGAAGAGCCAACATCCCATCTCTGCTTCTGTCTGGGTGCTGATGCATAGGAAGACTTTAACAACAGGGCCAGTACATACAACAGTTCATTAATCTTCATCCAAACTCAAGTCCTCTTTAGATTAGGACATTTCTGAGTTGGATCTGTTTTCCATATACTTATTAATCATCAATGGATTGCTGCTTTTATTAACATGTTCAGTTGCTCCCTGAATGCATATGCCTATCTACTACCACATGTAAGTGTGGTGTCAGTGTCTCTGATATTTGCCTCAAGGATAACATTCTACTAATTTCTCTGACACTGGTTCAGACCAAGACCACTGTCATTTAATGACTCCTAACTTTGCTGGAGTGAATCAGGTTATGGCTTCCCTTACAAGTGAACAGCTGTTGATGACATAATGCCATCAGCGAAACAGATATTCTTTCAACAGATATTTAGATGTATTCAAAACAGATAGTCATCTTTGACATAGTTGTCACCAAAAGTGACAAAACTAAGCATGGAAATCAATGTATCAGTAAGTTATGCTAGAACAATGATGCAACAATAACTTAAAATATTAAAATAATTTAGTTTTATAAAACAGCTAAATCTTTCCATCTGGAAATTTATTAATAATTTTGGTACTCCTTAAAATTGTCTCATCTTTTTAATGCTGCTATTTTGGAGTTACAAATCACTGCTTTATAAGAAAAAAATCATACCAGGTTGTTCAAAGTAAATGATAGTGAATACCTATTTATGAGAGCTTAAAAACTTGAGAAATTAATCAGAAAACTATGGCTCCATTTGATGACTTATATGAAAAATGATCATATGGAGTTGCTCACTCTAGTGTTTTAATTAATGTTACTGACTTCAGCTTTAACTTAATGTCCATCTGTTGTAAAGCTGCATGTCTATATATGTTCTTCTCAATTTTTTTGTGACTAACAAATGCACATTTGAGAAGTTATTCATTAATGTGCCACTCATCTTTCTGCATCATGCTGCCAATGTTATTTTCTTTATTTCACTGTGACTATTTGAAATGAAACTGCTGTCTTCCATTTTGAAGCCTCGTTCAAGCTCTAAGATGCACACTCAGATCTTACACTCTCTATGTTTGGTCCCTCAACACTAGCAAACCTGCTTGTAGTCTCCTTTGCTGTGCACAAAACCTCAGTCTTCTTAAGACCCTCACTCAGTATTCCTATTTAGATCGAAGCAGTCAAGGGTCAGGACGTGCTGTTGCAACACTTGAGCACAATGAAATATACTTCAGCCAGCAGTGTTACAAAGTTTTTCTGCAATTATCCAAGTCCCCAAACAAGTTACAGTTAGTTGTCACTGATTTTGAAAATATCACAGTGAATTATTCCAGATTTTTCTTTCTGTTTGCCTGAAAAGATACGGTTGAAGCAGAATGTTTGCAATTGTTTACAGCTTGAGCCAGCTGTTACATCTCTAGAGTATGTGTCTTCAGGGCAACAGCTTCCCTACAGTCTGTATTTTTAGCAGCAACCCATCCCAGAAAGATTCTCTAATAGCAATTCCAATGTTTGAATTAGTGGCCTCTGTATTTACTAAAGTTCACTAGGGTGTTGTGGGCCTTCCTGTAATAAAGTTCTTTTCCTTTATTGGCTCTCCCTCTTCACGGTGTTTTAAGTTCCAAAGCACCTTCAGCTTAGCACAGAGCATACCTCTAAAGGATATTCATTCCCACATTCCACTGACTTCCACATCATTTCATTTCTGGCCAATGTCAGAGCCCAAATCCATACCTACAATATCCTGATTAGCATAGTAAGAGCAATCTTTCTAGAAACAAATAGGATGAGTGCTGCACAGGAAAATCTAACCATTACTCACAACTCAAACTACTTTTTTTCTTATTTTTTAATCTCCTTGAAATGCAAGCAATATCAATTTTCCATGTTCTGTACCTGCTACTTTCAATTCTAGAAACACCAGAACACCCTTATAAGGATGAAAGAAAAAAACCATCAGCCTGTGGACCTACAGATTCTGAGTAATGCAAATGATAGAAATGTTGAATCATCTGTGAGTGAAGGGTGCCATTCACTCCTTAATGTTTACAGAGAGGGTATGTAGCAACAAGTCACACCATAATTCTCTCAGCTGCACCCTAAGCTGAGGTGAGTGCATGGCCTGAATTTTTAGTGCCTGCTAGCTCACATCAAGATGTCAGAACCTGCTGAGACAGATATCCAGCTCTATCTTACTCAAAGATAGCAGGATGATCAGCATTTGCTACATAATTCTTCACTTCAGAGGATAAAGCACCAAGAAAACATTCACAGCTATGTCCTGGGTAACCAGACACCTCCAGGTAGCAAGGTAGGGATATGTACCCCAAACTACTAAAAGAGAATCTCAACAACACTGTTTCTTACTACTTTTTCCAGTTATTAGTGGTGAACATCCATGGAAATGTGAAATGTCTGACATGAACAAATGGAAGAAAATAAAGTTCAAACTCCTGAGTGCTAAATATTTTGCTTTAATTTTAGGTTAAATATACAAGGTCCTAGAGAAAAAAAAAAAACAGAATGGCAGAAAAGAAGAAGAACTGTCATTTTAAAAAATACTATCTAAGGCTATATGCAAAATTTCTCTTGCCCCAGCTAACACGTTAATGGGGTCTTCTGTTTGGAATGTTGATACATTTTATTTGGAACATTTTTTTTAATTTGAAGATTTGTTCTTCAATATTGTATCTATACACCAATGCCAAAGTCAGCCCACAGTCCTGTAACATTTTTTCTCTAAGTCCACAAGTTTCTCTGCCAGCACAGACCAGCACATAGTAGTGTTCAAAAGGACTACACACTCAGCTACCAATTAAAGTAGCACAAGAACAATCCATCCCTTAGCTTTGCTTTGTTAATACCCATGTTTCCTGTGTATTTTATGGAGAAGCAGTGTCACATTTCTTCCTAAAAAAGGCCCTAGTGTGACTTCCGTGACATTCACCATTCCAGAACTGGAAAGTTCTTAGCTTGTTCATTTTTTTTTAGCTAATGAGATGTGTACAGACTTCAAAATGGGGTCAGTACCAGCAAGTTTGGGAACTGAGGTATTCTGAACTCAGAAACAGAATATCAGTCCCCTAAATGACCAGCCACAACTGCAGGGTAAGAGTTTATCATCACTACTTATTTTCATATAGAAAAAAAAAGTGAGGGGAGGAATTAAGAAGCAACTAGCATCTTAATTTTCCTAGTCAGAATGGAAACTATTACACTTCTTTGTACTCTTGCCTAACACACTATTACCTTGCACACAGTGACAAACTGATGATCGTTTCCAGCTCCCACCACAATGTAGCCATCCTTGGTCTTAAAAGCCTGGAAGAAAAAACACAGGTGATAAGCTGCAACTATAAAATATTAGCACATCTTTTAAGTGAAACTTTGCAAATTATTCCTTAAACATTTCCATTCAGACCCATCTCTAGTTCTATAAAAGCGGCTCAAAGTCATCCACAATGATGTATGCAGCTCTTCTGATTTTTTGAGAAGTTACCTTCTTTCATACTATTTTTGCTGAAAATGTGTCATGAGGCACCCTGAAACTTTGCAAATGTGTCCCACACTCACAGGGACTGAAAGGATTACTATGACAATGCTTACTTGCCAGGAGTAATTTATTCAGCTTTACTGTTAACCTGACTGAGAGCAGACAGCTGTGCTGAAGAGTCACAGACTCAGACCCAAAAAATTATTGTCAAGTAGCAACTACAAATTAGGAACTCCCATGGAAATGAAAGGGATAGACTGCACCTTTCCAGTTCTTCGACTGGAGATTAAGCTATCACCTTGGTCAATGGTCTCAAGGTCAAGCCCCTGGAGGAAATGGAACTTTTTTTTCAGCTTTGAGGATTTATTTTTGACTTTTGACTTCATTACATTGGCCTTACTGGCACATTTTGTGATGATCAGAGCGTTTAACTGGGTAGGACATAACAACTGTCATTTCAGTCTAAACTATCTCACTTAGATTTTTACTGGAACAAAATATCTGTAATTGGCAACACATTCTTTTTTTACCATTGTGTCAGGGCATCTTCTGAAATTGGATAATGCAAACAGAATCTTCTCCACACCTCTCCCTTATACAAGCATGTATAACTGCAGTTTCAGTCATCTATGTGACTAGCACAACTTTTGCAAACACTTGGGGAAAATTATTTCACTATTTATTTTACTTCAGTGTAAGAGGCCAGTATAGGCTGGTGCATTAGTGGCGTTGAGGTCTTGCAATACTTTCTTGCAGAGACCAAAAATCATCTTCCATTCCTAGAAATAATTTTTTAATGAGAGATTTCATGTGCTGACCTCAAGGTCTGAATTCTTAGAATAAATTTTGGTAAAACAACACACAAAAAAAAAGTCCTGATGTGGGAACACTTTAATAATTAAAAGTCTTCTCATGCCACTGCGGCTTATTCTTCTTCACAGAGAGCAATATGTTATTCCAATTTCCAGTCTTTCGTTCAGATACAACTACATTCACTAAGAGTCTTTCACCATCTGGTATACTCAAAGTTTTAAAATTGTATGTGGACAATTATGTCCACTGAAATGCAAGTAACTGTACGTCATAGTTAGAATATCATTTGTTTGCTCTTGCTATGTTTCATTTCATGGTAAATAGTATTAGTCAGTGATAGAGTTTAGCAATTTATTTTTCACACATTTAATTAAGCACATCAGTCTAAGATTCTTAGCAAGCAAAGATGAAATTCAGCAAATGTTTAGTCCCAAGCATGCAAAAAAAGTACCACTGACTTGGCCCCAGTACAGTCAAAGTTTAGAAAAATGCATAATATAAAGGTACTGCATACTCACACTGACGAAAGCAGTGAGTACAGAAAAAAACTGGGGAGAAGGAACATAAAAAAATAAAATTGTATGTGAATACATGAGTATTTTTAGTGAAATTTGTTCATGAAGATTTCCATCTGAAACAATCATGACAGAGCCTGGTCTAAGAATATGTAAGACACTCCCCCTTCTCTCCCCTCAATAGGTGGCTTTTAGTAGAAATAGTTGTGAATTAAAACTATCAGTATAAACTTATTACCTTTAGTTACAGGCAAGGTCTGTTTCCTGAATTCCCTGCCCAAATCCTGAACAGTCTTTGCTGATACTCTGAATTCCAAAACCAGCCACATGCACATCACAAAAATTATGGGTTAAACACAGTATGTATCAGTGTGCATATGTAACACAATATAGTTTTTATTGATGCGACCACCTACTATTTCCAGTAAACACAAATTAGAATTCTTTTGTACTTTCTTTTAAACTTTTAGCCTGGATGCCTGTTACAGATTGCAAAGCCTACAATATATGTCATATGTACAGATCCCCTTCCTAGTCACTCCAAAATATATTTATATTGGTGGTAAGGGAAGATCTTAGAGAGTTTATTATTTATCAACAACTTCTTTTGAGACTCACATCTCTGTAAGAAGGCTGCAATCACACAATAGCTGCATACCACTATGAAACATGCATCTGTACCCACGGGCTGCCCATGCTGCAGCGGAAGTCACTCTAAATTTAAGGGCCTGGTTATTAGCATGTGTGCTTCAGTTGCTTTGTGGAATGTGTGGGAAAACTGATTATTCTTAATTGCACTGTATGCCTAAAAAGCTAAAACAACAATCATGTCATCCTTACACAACAAAAATGGTATCATCATAAATGCAGCAGTGTCTTCTTCCATGAAGCTTAACTCAAATGTCTTTGGCTGCTATTTTAAGCTTCCCATTACAAAACAGCTGATTATTTGCCAGTCATTGCTGCTGATAAAGCAGAAACTTCCAAATGTTACTAGCACAATATTGATGCCAACATTTAAGGGTGACAATGGTTTTATTCATCACCCCTAAATGTACGCACACTACAGGTTACCACAGGTTACTGTCTGGTCACAGAAAGCTTCACAATCTTATTATACAAAGGAGAATAAGGGCAAAGTGCAGACAGATTTTAATGAGATTTTGTTTTGATAAACTGCTGTCCATCACATCGAATCATTTCACATTAGTGCAATAAAAGGCACTACACACACAAGGCAAAAGTCTTTTTTCCCTTCCCTTTTTCTGAAGAACGAGGTCTTCTGATAAGATTCTTGAGAGCAACAGCATGAGTTAACCTGCTACTCCCATGTGGTATCCTGAGCAATAGAACACCATGTGGAGAAAACAAGAAACAAATACCAAGTAAAAAAATTATTCCACATCTTACTCACAGGAAAGGAAGAGACATTGTGAGCATCCAAAGGTGTAGCTTTTCAGAATGGCATAAAAAACTTGAGGGTTTCTTAGAAGACAATCTGTAAATTCACATTGAATGATATCTAGTACATGACATTAACACATGCATGTTCAAAGGCAGATCTCAAGGTCCAGTGTGCATGCATCAACACCCCACACTGTCTAATGGATGTTACAGGACCACATTAAGACTCAGTGCTTTTCCAAATTTGATCCTAGAACACTGTGTATACCTGAGGTATGTTGCATACTGAAATAATTTAATCCCCCTAAACACGTGGCATACAAACTCTATCGACCCTCAGAAATGTTCTATGCGGTTTACAAGTGTTCTCCAATATAGACTATACAATAAAGATGCAGGACAAATTTAACCACAAGTTATTATCAGAGCAGACAAAGACTTGCTAGATAATGAGGCCAAAACAGCCTTTCAAAATCTGCCAGCTTTGAAGGCATCAATAGAAGACCATAAATCTTTGTATTTATTATATTAATAGCATAAATCTTTGTATTATCTGCTTTATGAATTTTAAGTCTGTATGTGCTATGGCAATCATCAATCATAGATAAATATCTTTGCATATGTTTCAATTTACCTTGACAGGCTTGAGAGGTTGGCCATGTATGTGCTATGGCAATCATCAATCATAGATAAATATCTTTGCATATGTTTCAATTTACCTTGACAGGCTTGAGAGGTTGGCCAATGCAAACCTCATGAAGTGCAACAAAATGAAGTGCAAGGTCCTACATCTGGGCCATGGCAATCCCAGGCACACCTACAGGCTGGGTGGGGAAGTAATCGAGACCAGCAATGAGGAGAAAGACTTAGGAGTGACAGTGGATGAGAAGCTCACCATGAGCTGCAGTGTGAGCTCAGCCCAGAAAGCCAACGGAATCCTGGGCTGCATCAAAAGGTGCGGCCAGCAGGTCAGAAGAGGTGATTCTCCCCCTCTGCTCTTGTGAGACCCCACCTGGAATACTGAGTGCAGTTCTGGTGTCCTCAACATTAGAAGGATGTGGAACTGTTGAAAAAGGTCCAGAGGAGGGCCATGAAGTTGATAAGAGGACTGGAAAACCTCACCTATGAAGATAGACTGAGAAAGTTGGGACTATCCAGCCTGGAGAAGAGAAGGTTGCATGGAGACCTCAGAGTAGCCTTCCAGTATCTGAAGGGCCTACAGGGGAACCAAAGAGGAACTCTTTGTTAGGAACTGCAATGACAGGACAAGGGGTAATGGGTTCAAACTGAAGGAGGGGAAAATTAGGCTAGATATTAGGAAAAAGGTTTTTTACCGTGATGTGGTGACTCACTGGAGCAGGTTGCCCAGGGAAGTGGTGTCTGCTCCAACCCTGGCAGTGTTCAAGACCAGGCTGGATGATTCCTTGAGCAATCTGGTCTAGTGAGGAGGTGTCCTTGCCCATGGCAGGAGGGTTGGGGCTAGATGGTCTGTAAGGTCCATTCCAACCCCTAAAATTTTATGAAGATTCTATGAATTTGCATGTTGCATAAACAAAACTTTTAAATGTAAAGGACCAACCAAAAGATATGAAAATTCCAATAAAATTATCAGAAATCCAGATCAGTTTTCACTACTTGAATCCAAAACACAGAAATCAAAATCACCAGAACATCTGCAAGTATGTATGGCAATGCTTCATACCCCTCAATCAGGTATTTATAGACCTCTGTATATTAATGATATATTATAGCCCTCCAGGCTAAAGAGTCCCAGATCTCTCAGCCTCTCCTCATTTCCTGGCCCTTCACTGGACCTGCTTCAGTATGTGCATATCCTACAGACCCCAGAAGTAGACCCAGTTGTGGACTCATAACTGGATCCAGCAGTGATTTATCTTCAGTGGTGCTGAGCACAGGGAAAGGGTCATGTCTCTTGACCTGTTAGCAATTTTCCTCCTTATATAGACCAGAACAATCTCCTTGTCACAGGGACACATTGCTGGATTGTGTTCCATTTTTTGTTCACTAGGACCACTAGGTCCTTTTCTGCAAAGTTGCTTTCCAGCAGGTCAGCCCCTAGTGTATACTGATGCATA